CTGCATCAGGGCGTGATCGAGTGGATTCCAGCCACCTACAGAAGAAAAAGCAATTCTCATGGTCACACAGTGTGGTTGTTAGGGTAGATCTCCTGAGTGAGATTTACCAAACTCATGCCTTGTACTGACAAGGATTCATTAGCTAACCAGTACATCTTATCTCTATCTATCTATCTATCTATCATCTATCTATCTATCTATCTATCATCTATCTATCTATCTATCTATCTATCTATCATCTATCTATCATCTATCTATCATCTATCTATCTATCTATCTACCTATCTACCTACTATCATCTATCTATCTATCTATCTATCTATCTATCTATCTATCATCTATCTATCTATCTATCTATCTATCATTATCATCTATCTATCTATCTATCTATCATCTATCTATCTATCATCATCATCTATCTCTATCATATCTATCATCTATCTATCTATCATCTATCTATCTATCTATCTATCTATCTATCTATCTATTTATCTATCATCTATCTATCTATATCTATCTATCTATCTATCTATCTATCTATCTATCTATCTATATATCTATATCTATCTATCATCTATCTATCATCTATATCTATCTATCTATCTATCTATCTATCTATCATCTATCTATCTATCTATCTCATCTATCTATCTATCTATCTATCATTATCTATCTATCTATCTATCTATATCTATCTATTATCTATCTATCTATCATATCATCTATCTATCTATCTATCTATCTATCTATCTATCTATCATCCACTATCTATCTATCATCTATCTATCTATCTCATCTATCTATCATCTATCATCTCTCTCTCTCTCTCTCTCTCTCTCTCTCTCTCTCTCATCTATCTGTCATCTATCCACAAACACACATACACAAGAGTGGACTAGAGGAGTCATTGCACCCATGAGATATAGAACGAAGTGTTCTTTTACCTGCGCAGAGGGGCTAGCTGACAGGAGCAGTGCCAAGGGTTGTTCGACAGGGTGAGGGTCTCAAGACGGCCGAAAGGGAAGTTCCCAGGAAGACTGGACAGTTTGTTGTTCTCAATGTGAACAGTCTTCAGTGTGGTTACGCCAGCAAATGCTTTATCTGAAAACTGAAGCACAGGCACACGTGTCAATCATCACGCAACCAGCAGGGAAAGGAGAAGCTTATCCTTTGGGCCAAGTTGACAAATCAGTTTTTTTGCTGGCAGTGCATTTTGAGTTGGTGTGGATACTTTTGGGCTTTCTGTCGGCATCTGGTTGGGCACTGTAAGTACAGGATGCTGGAATGGATGTACCTTTGGGTCAGATCCAACAAGGCTCTTCTTCTGTTTCTATGACTCCGACCCAGAGTCCAGCAGCCACTCTTAAGTGACATCCATTCTCTTTCTGTATTTCTCTCCAGCAGTGATCAGTGTTTCAGGGATCAATATCAGGGTGGGTATATAGTGTGGAATGCCCATTATTTTTTACATGCCACCTACCTAAAACTATGAATTTTGCCATAAGTATCTTCCTGAACTCTGGAGAAGAGCGAAGGGTAGAAGGAGGACCACCTTAGTATTTGTCTTCATACTTTAGGGTCACTGAATTTAAGCTCTTGGAATCTGAAACCGTGACACTACAGGCATGTGTAGAGTACAAGGCTGTTCTCCTATTAGAAGAGACCTTGATGACATTTGGGGGGGGTTATGTGCCTCATATTATTTAAAAGATATGTGTGTTCCGACAAGCTCCATCGCTCTCCCTGCCTCCAGCTTCTTTCTAGACATCTCTTCATTTCCAAAGGAGCAAAGAGATTATTTGGCTTTTCATAGTTGAAATCCTTTCTGGCACCCGGTTGCCACATTCATGGAGAGGAGTATTTGTGGAGACTCAAGGGCCTGTAGACTTTGGCAGAACCCGGTGGACTCTCAATGGAAAGTTACACTTGGCATTCAAGCACAGTAGAAATAGCAAGGCAGATTTCCAGTGACTCAAGATTCCTCTCCCCTTTCTCTTTTTCCTGACCGGGATGCTGCATAATGTGTACATTTATGCCATATATAGGTTTGCTTGCTCTTTCACAGAATCATGAGACGGTAAAGAGCTAAAGCAGTTATTTCTCGGCCTAGTTGTCGTCGTTGCTCCTTGCTTCACTTGGAAAAATTCCCATGCACACAAACCCAACAACATAAACTTCCTTGGAGACTATAATTTAGGTTCAAAACATCTACCAGTGGTTACAACAATGTTCTCCCCACTACCACTCCCCTTACTCCCTTTCAGGGAAATGAAAAGAATATATACTAAGCCCGGATAAAATTACAAGTCATTGCAGTGTTTCCACAACACGTCACAAGAATCAACTAATCGCTGAATAAATTCCTCTACAGACCATCAGTGAATGAATCCCAGAAGATTCTCCTTGAGTTGTTGGCAAGGCTCTTTTTCACACGAGTTGTGAAGGCAAGCATCTCATCTCAAAGAGCTGTATATATTTGAATGAGATGTGTTGCATTCTAGAGGGCTTTGTGGTTCACCGCCAGATGTTGTAATTCTTGCTCCTTTGTGTAGTGGTGTTATGCACCCGCTCTTAGATATTGCACCTCCTGGTGCTGAGTTGGAGTTGGAGGTGTCTAGTGTAGCTATTGTATGAAAGGATGAGATGAGACTGAGTGTTTATATAGGGTACTTCCTGTTCATTCCCTTTGTTCCTTTAGTTGTGGCAGGGATTAAATCATCTATTGAATTTGTGATCTTCCCAGGGAAGGTGTAGCTCTGTTTGGTTGCTCATTGAGAAGTCTGCCGACCCATTCCAAGAGGTTGAACTGTCATCTCTGGTATTTGCCAGCTGAGCCTTGGCTGGCTGGTACTCTGGCCTGCAAACCAAACCATTACTAAATGCCTAGGTCTGCTATCTGCTTGCAGAAACCTATAATATTGAAACTACATGTAAAAGAGTTGTGTTCATTGCACTGACTACTGAAATAGCAAATTCTCAGCTTTTAGAAGCTTTGTTTAGAATTCATGTTAAGGGTAGCAATGTGTGCCAGTAAGCAAACCATATGGGATTGTGGATCGAGGGCCCGACCCCCGCTATGTGAAATAAACACACAAGGACACGTGATATAAGGTTGATGGGCAAGAAAAGGCCACAACTTTATTGATTACAGCAGTGAAAAGGTATTGGCTTAGGCATTGGATGACTATAGGAGGTGGGTTTATTCAACAGTAGGTGGAGCCTGTTGATGCCAATCCAACTATAGGCTCACCCCTGATGTCACCGAGGGTCGTGCCATGGCCTCCCGCCAAGCAGGCATCGGACGGAATACACGACCGCCAGATTCCTTTAACAGAATAACCCATGGTAGATAGCATAGGCGATGGCCACACCTAGCCCTTGACACACATGAATCCAATGCCTAACCTACCCACCAATACCACAAAAGTTGTGACGATTGCTACGAGGTAGGCGAAAAAACCAAAAAGCCTAATGCCAAATGGAAAAATTCCTACCAGGCCCCCCAGACAACCGGGGCGACCAACCTAAGGTCCATAGCAAGGCCAAAAAACCTAGACCCTGAGCTAAATGGGAGTGGAGGGTGGGTGACTCGCTGCAGGACGACGACGACTGAGGAGGAGGCGGAGCTGGAGCCGCAGCATTAAGCTGCTAAACACGCCCCCCGGAGACACCTGGTTGGCTGCCTCCGGTGGGCGTGGGCGCCAGCCAGGTGAGGAGGAGCGGGGGCTAAGGCCCCTGGCCAGGGGCGGAGCTCGGGCTCCCGCCCACAACCACTCCCCTCTCTTCCAGGGAGGAGAGTCCTTGCTAAATGAAAGGAGAACCAAAGGCCACAGCACAGTAATTAAGGGGGCAAGGAGAAGAGAGTTAAGGGAGCTGGAGAATGGGAAGTGGGTATGGATCCCCTTCTCAGGTTATATCAGCAGTAATGCTGGCATGGGAGAAGGATCCACAGCATCAACTTCTTTCATCTGGCTTGGTTCTTTCTGTGTCACCCAACAGAACCCATGAAGAGGAGTATGTGAAACTGCATAGATGGGATTAGACTCGGTTTACATATATACAGGTAGATTGAAGAAGCAAGAAGAACTGAGGGTCCACACAGGTGGAAGGGAGATTTTGATTAGGCTCCAGCATATGTTCAAAACTCCGCCTGAGACCCTCCTTTCCTGTGGAGCTTTGCTGAAGTTCCAGCCTTCACAGGGGATCAGTGAGTATCATCCATTCACGAGCCAGATGGCAAAAGACATAGCTGGTTTATGGTGCTGTGGACAGCTCCCTTGAGGACTTCTTTCTGGATTAGATACCATCCTTTTCGGATAGGAAATACATGTAACTGTCAAATAGTAATCCAGTTGCTGGTATAACTGAACTTCAAACCGTGAGCCAGGATTGTGGACTGGTGAAAATCACCATTGTGTGTCTCTGAGTTTATACAATTCATTCAACAATCCAAACTCCATTGTTCTTTTAGGTACTGTATACTGTATTCTGCTCGGGTAAAGCCTAACAGAGTTCCACGACTACTTCAAGTGGTTGTTTTGTTTTTTAAAAGTGTGTCACAAGATAACACCTTTATGGTAACATGTATGCAATTCTGAGGCTCTTGAATAGTGTTGTAATTTGGAAATTGAAAAGCCCTTTCATCAAGAGGACTTCACGTTGCTCCAGTCCTGAATAATTTGCCAGTTTCCAATCCCCATCCCTGAAAACTCCCTCCTCCCTCTCTGCCACCACCAACCGCTTGATAACTTTGCATCTTGGGGTGAATCTTGCTGCTTCGGGTGAATCTGTTTGTTCACCGTTCACCCTGATACGTCTGCACAAAGCTTACGTGGAGCTTAGACTGTGTCTGGTATTTACGGAGTATTCATTCTGATTTGTGTACAAGGCTCATATGACAACGAGCATTTCTCCTGATTTGTTTCTTGGGTGTTTACATGACTTCCTGTTAATCGTTTTTTCACCCCACTTTCTCAATGCACAATCTATGATGCCTTCAGACTGTCCCTTTCCACACTGCAAAAAGTTCATTTTAAAAATGTGGATTTGTGCTTTAATCTATTTTAGTTGCACAAACCTGAAGTTCTAGTAAGCAATTGAATCCCGCCCCCCCATGAAATATTGACAGTCTGTAGATACCCTGTATTAGCTCTGGGCTCTGGATGATTTTCTTTTCCGTGTAAAATGTGTATTTAATTTGGTTTGCCAACACTCTGTCATTCACAGAGCTTTATTGCGGTGGGGCGGGCGGTTCATGTTGCTGCATCCCTTAGCATCTCTTTGAGGGTCACTGTTTTGGTGCTGATTCACCTGGATAACCTCAGCATGGGTACATAGCATGGCTGGAAAACTTCCCTCCTTGTTCACCTGGAAGCCTTCCATGATCCTTCTGCTTCTGTTTGATGTGGTCTCTTCCCCCCCATCTGGGACATGCTCCATCTAGTGTGATGTCACCGCTGCCTCCTGTTTACGAAAAGCACCTCAAGCATGATGCTTCAGCCTCTGGGACATGACTCATTTGCCGAGAAGAAGAGGAGTATTTTGCTGCATTACCTGAATGTCCCTCTAGCTCTCTTGATAGGAACAGAGTGCCTTTGTGGAGCGCTGTGAGGGTTTCTCTTGAGAGATAGTCAATAAACAAACCCTTCTTTATGAAGTGTAAGGTTGGAGAGAGGCAAAGATGCAAAAGTCCTCATGTGTGCTCAGTCTACCTGACTGCAGAGCACTCACCAGTCGCTGACGTTAGCCTCCACTTCTGCGGTGGTCACTGCATTCACTTACTTGTTCAATAACAGGCCATCAGTCTGGTGTCTAGGAACAGAGCTTTACTCTCCCTTTTGCAAACGGCAGGTATAGGGGTGCCAACCTTTTGCCTCCAGTACTCTGTCCCATTAATTTCCTAGTCCAGCCTTCCCCAAGATGGTGCCTTCCATACCTGGTTGGACAATGGAAGTTGTCCATAAGGCTGCTGGGAGTTGCAATCCAATATAATCTGGAGGGCACCAGGTTGGGGAAGGTTGGGGACCTAGTCTCTGCCTGTCAATCACTCTCACTATACAAACGGACACAGCCTTTGCATCATTCATTTTGGAGGACAGGCACCACGACCATGGTTGTTATTATTCAATATTATTTAGTTTGAAAGCATTGCAGGCTCCATGTAATACCATGAAGCCTCCAGGTTACAGGGCTTACAAACAGATGAGATGAAGGCAAAAGGGGGAGGAATTTCAAATGAGGAACTAGAACAGATAGTGGACAGGGAGGTAGGTAGTGGAAATGTGAACAGTGATGCAGAAAAACATTCGTTTCCGTTCAGGAGCAACCTGAAGGAGGAAAGGGCCCCAGGGCTTTGGTGGAGAGAGAACTGGCTGCTAGGAAATTATTCCAGAACAACTTATTTCAAATTTAGGAGCGTGAAATGCAAATAATAAACCTATCACCTTTTTATCGTTATTTTGCATTTTCACTAGCACCTGAAGTGCTTTTTTGCTAACGATTTGCTTCTGTAGTTGGGTGCTGTGAGTTGTTAGGAAGCCTCTCCCAGAGCTACAGTTCTGAGCACCCTTAACAAACTACAGTTCCCATGATTCCTTGGGGGGGAGGGAGTCATGACTGTTAAAAGAGTATTTTTAAGATATGGCATGGATATTACCCTAGAGCCATGATGTAAACAGTCAAAGCTCTTCAGGTTTGACAAACAGGGGAGAGAGTCTGTGTAGGGAGTCCTGTCCTTTTCACATCCCACTTACCCATTTCCCACCATCATTGAGATATTTGCTTCAAAGGGGCATGACCTGTAGGGATGGGCAAATCTGCCCATTTTCTCTCAAATTTTCATTTTTCTGATCTTGAGTTCCATTTATCCTATGTCCACATCAGTTTGGGATTATTTTTTAAAGCCTGCACATTCCTCATAAACTACACATTTTTACAAGCAGTTTTCCCTAATATAATACACTTTTGTACATTATTTTCACTAATGCACACTTATTTGTGCACCCTTTCCTGTAAATATCTGAAGGAGCGTCTCCACCCCCATCGTTCAGCCTGGACACTGAGATCCAGCGCCAAGGGCCTTCTGGTGGTTCCCTCACTGCGAGAAGCCAGGTTAAAGGGAACCAGGCAGAGGGCCTTATTGGTAGTGGCACCCGCCCTGTGGAACACCCTCCCTTCAGATGTGAAGGAAATAAGCAGCTATCCTATCTTTAAAAGACCTCTGATGGCAGCCCTGTTTAGGGAAGATTTTAATATTTAATGCTGTACTGTTTTTAACATTTGATTGGGAGCTGCCCAGAGTGGCTGGGGAGACTCAGCCAGATGGGCGGGAAACAAACAAACAAACAAACAAATAAAATTGTTATTGTTATTTGGATGGAGAACTGCATCACTGAATTCGGTGACTTGCGCATCTTGAAGGGTAGCTGCATTCTGATTGGCTCAAGAAGTGGGAATTAGGTGGATTCCCGTTCAAATGTGAACCAAACCAATTCCTCCCCTGCCTCCATCCATAGCAGCCAGTCACGTTTTTCCAAACCTGGCGTTGCCCTCTTCTTCTCCCCCAACTAAGCATGCCTTCCAGGCTCCTGAGAAGAAGGTAGCAAATGCTTTCACCTTCCCTACAAAGAACTACAAAGAAAACTGTCAGTCTCTCCCCCCCCCCTCCCCATTTCTGAATCTAGCTTATGCTTCGAAACATGCTGCCTCTTCTCCAAATCACCCAGGAGGCTGTGGCAAACCACTGGATTTACTTTCAGGCTGTGTGGCTTTCCTTCCCCCATCAATGTTGTTCCCAAATGTAGCATTTGTCTTTCCTCTGTCGGAATGAATCATAATGTTAAAAGGTGCACTGCAAACACGCCACTGGAAACAGGGGGATTGAAACCTGCTTCCTGCCGCTCATTTCCCCTGCATGTGCAGTGAAAGCAGGATGTGCACCCCAAACGGTGTCCCACTTATTTCGCCCCATACAGTGGTACCTCGGGTTAAGTGCTTAATTCGTTCCGGAGGTCCGTTCTTAACCTGAAACGGTTCTTAACCTGAAGCACCACTTTAGCTAATGGGGCCTCCCGCTGCCGCCACGCCGCCAGAGCACGATTTCTGTTCTCATCCTGAAGCAAAGCTCTTAACCCAAGGTACTATTTCTGGGTTAGCAGAGACTGTAACCTGAAGCATATGTTACCTGAAGCATCTATAACCCGAGGTACCACTGTATAACTGTGATGGGAGCGACTGAGAACCCAGCCAGCCCTGCGTTCTGTTTCTTAACTGTGCTATAGGCTTGAGTGTGACAGAACAGAAAGAGACTGCGTTTGAAAAGTCTGCATTAGAAGCATTTGAAAACATCGTGGTGGCTGGGGGTATGCAGTGGTACCTCGGGATGCACCTGGTAGTCTCAGCCACTGAGAATAAACTCATGGCTTGATGGCTCACCTGGGGTGGCTAACCTGGTTTGTCACCCTTGCCCTTGGGCAGCCCTTCAGCACCTGCAAGCCAACAGTGGGTGTGGCCACCTTGCACCCTCATTTTGCACACACAGACAGCCCCCCTCCTCCGCTGAGCCATGCAGATCAGCTGAGGGTGATGGGATCGTCACCCTCTCCCTGCTCATCAAATGATTGATCCAATGACCAAGGAGGGTGCTGGGCTAGGTGCAGAAGTTAAATCCTCTCTGCCCAACCCAGTATAGTGCCTTACTTTAATTTCTGTTTCCTTTTTGGTGCTGGCAAAATGGGGAGCGGGTGCAGGGAGTGGGCAGAAAACTGTGTGGGGAGTTACATTAATGTTCCACTGCTGTTGCTAGAACGGGGTGGAATTTGGGTAAGAGCGAGATGGAATATTTTGAATGGGCAAGATCTAGGGAGGGAGAGGGAAATTTCTGTGGACCACTTACCTTTTCTAGGCCCACGTTGTCCAGGCTGAGTGTCTCCATGTAGCGCCCAAAGGACTGGAAGGCTAAATCCGGGATGATCTTCATGGGGTTGTTTGAGAGTTTCAGGTCCTCCACCACTCTCAGCTTGCTCATGGCAGCCCCAGGGTAGCTGGTCAGATGGTTCTTATCCAGGTGGAATATGGCTAGGTTCTCCACATCGTCCAAGGCCGCAGGATGGACGGAGTTGATAGAGTTGTTCGAGAGATAGAGCCAGCGGAGATCCTTGGTCCCATGGAAGGCTCCTGCTCTCAATTCTCGGAGCTTATTGCTGCCTAGCTGCAGGATGAAAAGGTTGATCAGTGGGGAGAGGAGCCCCTTGGGCAGGTCTGGGATCTTGTTGTGGTCTAGGTAGAGGTAGGTGAGCTCCGTCAGGTCATCGAAGGCCCCCATCTTTATGACGCTGATGTCATTGTTGGACAAGTAAAGGTAGACCAGCTGCTTCAGGCCCCGGAAGGCTCCACTGGAGATCTCTTTGATGTGAGAGTGCTGGAGGTGGAGAGAGACGAGGTTCTTCATCTCCCTGAAACCGTTGGTCGGCAGGACGGGGAAGTTGTTCCTTTGCAGGTTGAGGAGACGCGTCTGCCTCAGCTACCTTGGGGATCCTTCTCAGCCCAACGTTGTCGCAGATGACATGCTGGAGGTCTCCCCCGTGGCAGTGGCAGTTCTGAGGACATGCCTGGAGAACGGGCAGGAGGCATAGCAGCAAGCCAAAGAGCTTGAGTACGAAGCCTGACCGGTCCATGTCCACAGAGCTGTGATGGATGTGCAGGGAGAAGCAGCGGCAGCAAGAGGAGAAGGAGGAGGAGGAGGAGGGAGAAGGTGGAAGGGAGAGTGAGCATGCAGCAAGCTGAACACAGCCCTATTTATAATGTTATTAAAAAACAAAATCCCTTCCCACTAACCGCAGCCAGCAGCCAGACTCTGACTTGGAAGCAACTGGCTTCAGGAACTTGGTGTGACTTTAACCCCTTGGCACCAAGCACAGAGGGATCCTCCTTCCCTCTCCTCTTCTTAACTTTGATGATGCAGGGAGTGCTTCCCCTGCTAACAAATCACCACGGGGAACAGTGTTTGTATGTCTGTTGTTGAAAATTCTTGTCCTTCCCTGAACCATGTGTGCAGGAAAATAGAACCGTATCTAAGGGGATCTTCCGATGTGCTGAGGGGGACGTTCTCCTTGTTGCCTTCTAATCAGTAGCTGGTAGGAAAGGCATGCCAGGGTAACTAACATGGAAGCAATCTGAATTCCTCCCCTGCCCGGTTCACAGGGCATCTTTTGAGCTATTCCATTGAGTATACTGATTGTCTACTGTGGATGCAATCCATCTTCCCCCCCTGCCTCCCCTCCATCTGGCTTACCTAGAGCTCAGTGGTCTACATCCTTTATTTGTTGTTTTTCACTATTCATAATAACAATAATAATGCAAGTAACAAATAGCCTTGCAGCTAAATTGTTGGCTGAACTTGGCAGTTAAGTAATACAACAACACCACAAACTGGCTTATCAGTATAAAACCAAATTTACTAGAATAATAGCTAGAATAGAGATAGACTTGTAACCATTCAAACAACAAACATACTAAGGTGCCATGTGCAAGACAAAGCCTGGAGATACTGTAAACATGGAGTGGATAAATGTACAACTCTATCTTAACAAGTTACATGTGCAGTAAACGTATACAGACTGGATAAATGAACCGTTCAACAAGTAGCGCAAGTCCAATCACAGAACGACAACCCCGTGCTGCCACAATGGCAAGGGTAGCACACTGGAGAATATGAAAAAGTTTTTCAAAGCTGTTTTTCAAAGATTGAACTGGGTGAGATGTTCTTCAATGGGTTTTGAGTTGGAAACACAAAGCCGTATGCATGGATCAATCACGGGAAGGCAAATCAAAGCCACCACCCTGGTGAGAATAATGCAAGTGGGCAAAAGGAGACCTGTTCTCCAGATATATGACAGGTTTCACTACACGCTTCATCAGTCTGAAAAGCTGCATGATACAAAATAGCACTCCAATTGCAATGTGTGGTGAACCATACAAATTAGAAAATATCAGTCTCATACTATACCTTCCCCAGTCATACAAAACGGTTTGCTCAGGATAAAGAAAGTATTCACAGGCACAGGTAGTGTTCAGACTCATAACAAGCAGTTAAATACAATACAGGTGTATAGAATCAATCATCACATAGTGTTGGACTCAAACTCCCATCAGCCCCAGTCAGCATGATCAGTGATCAGGGTTGATGGGATCTAGAGTCTGATAACCTCTGGAAAACTTTTAAAAAATCAATTTAAAAAACAGTAAAAGCACCATCAGTAAAACTAAGTTCAAGTGGCAGTACTTAAAATGCCCTCTGGAAGAGAGCAGAGATTGGGCCAGGCAACCTCCCTGGAGCAAGGTATTGGTGCCACTGCAGGAAAGCCTCTGCTCCTTGTGTCCAGTCTCCAGACTTCAAATGATGAAGGGACACAGAACAAAGTCTCATTGGATGATATTCATGGTTGGGCAACTTCATATCACAGGAGACAGTGCTTAAGATACGCTGGTCCCAAATCATTTCAGGCTTTAAAAGTCAAAATAGCACTTTGCCTAAAAGCAAATTGACAAACAGTTTAGATGGTATTATATCACAGTTGCACGCTCCAATCTGTCACTTGTAGTTCATGTTCTGGCAGCTGTATTCTCGTCTAGCAGAAGCTTCCAAGCTGTCTTCACCGGCATCACCATATAGATCATACTACGGTATCACCTTGCCAACAAAGGCCCGTATAGTTAAAGCTATGGTTTCCCCAGTAGTGATGTATGGAAGTGAGAGCTGGACCATAAAGAAGACTGATCGCCAAAGAATTGATGCTTTTGAATTATGGTGCTGGAGGAGACTCTTGAGAGTCCCATGGACTGCAAGAAGATCAAACCTCTCCATTCTGAAGGAAATCAGCCCTGAGTGCTCACTGGAAGGACAGATCCTGAAGCTGAGGCTCCAATACTTTGGCCACCTCATGAGAAGAGAAAACTCCCTGGAAAAGACCCTGATGTTGGGAAAGATTGAGGGCACAAGGAGAAGGGGACGACAGAGGACGAGATGGTTGGGCAGTGTTCTCGAAGCTACTAACATGAGTTTGACCAAACTGCGGGAGGCAGTGGAAGACAGGAGTGCCTGGCTTGCTCTGGTCCATGGGGTCACGAAGAGTCGGACAAGACTAAACGACTAAACAACACTGGTAGGCTAACCTGGAGCTGATTGAGGCATAAATAATGTCTAGGTCTGACTTCCCAAAGAGAAGGTGTGGCTGGTGTTTAAGACAGAGCTTATAAAAGGCACCCCTAGCCACAGCTTGGTCATCTAGGAGTAAGGTTGGGTTCAGTAGTACTTCTAAGCTACAAACCTGGGAGTGCCATCCCGTCTACTCATAAACCACCTGCAGTAGAGATCCTGGCACATTAGGCCAGGGGAGAGGGGAGTGGAGAGATGTGGAGTTCCCTTCCTTCCACTTGTTTAGCAAAAGTGGAGGCAGAGAATAGAGCACATAGTATCTGTGCACTTGAAAGGCCAGCACAGAGACACAGCACGATGTGAAGAAGTACCCAAGAACCCCAGGCCTTGGTCCTCTGCCAAGTGGGGACAGGACGGGGGGTGGGGGGAGAGAGAGACTACAGAGGAGTGGAGGGCAGAGGCTGGAAATGGAACATTTTGAGCTGGTTTCTCGCCAGATGCTGTTGGCTGTAGCAAACAACTAAGACCTGGGCATATACAACTGTGAGCTTGTTGAGGCTTCCACCGCTGGAGCTGGCTACAAAAGCCAAGCTGGCTGGGGTGTTTACGGAGGCGAGACAGTCTCAAGAAAGGGCGGAAATCCAAGGACTGGTTTAGGACACAGAGGAGGGATTATTCACAAGGATGCCTGGTTTTTTCCATTGTTGAAAGGAGGTATCGCGGCGCATGCGGCGCAGGGCTGTTATGCACACTGGCCAGGCCTCTTGTTTTGCAGAGGTACATTTCAAAGGGACTTTTTAACTGAAGTTGGAGGGCTTTTTTTGCACCTTGGGGTGTGTGCGTTGATTTTGGGTCATAATTCCAGGCAACTTTTACTACTGTCAAATGAACTGTGCAACATTATTTTTTAACAACTTCCCATGAAGTTCTTTCAGAAGTGAAGAACTGGGAAGGTGGCAAACTCACTCCTGTGATGCCCAGTGTCCTGTGCTGTCCATAATACATAGCCCAGTACTCACCTGAGTTCTCAGCTTTGTTCTTTTACCTGCCTGGAGCTCTGGCTTCCCGGTGTGTCCTGTGCTTCCTCCCTTCCCACTGCAAATGTCCAGCTCTGTTTGCTTCCACTACCTTTGCATTCTGGACATGCTCTGAACTTCATTCCTCTTTCTAGTGAGCTTCTGGCCTCCCATTGTTCCCTTCAGTGTAGTCTACCATAGGGCTGGGCGATATCTGGTTTTCAACATCGCAATATGTTGCTATATCACAGTGTCTAAAATAAGGATGGAACTATGTAGAGGTGAACAGTAAGACTGGGCGATACCTGGTTTACAACATCATTATATATCACCAGCTAGACATCAGAATATATTGATATATCACAATGTCTGAAATAAAGATGGAGCTTTGTCGGGGCATTGTCTGGCTTCACAGTTTTCCCACATTGTGATTTTTGCTTACCACACACGCACAGACACACCATGATTCTATATTGCCAGGTCAAAAATTATGAAACCAATATCGCAATATGGACTTCAAACCGTTTTAGATGATATATCACCCAGCCCTAAATGATATATTGCCTAGTCTACAGTTGTAGCCAGCAAATTCTGGAAGGCAACCCCTGTAAAAACAACACTGCCAGCATGGATTGCCATGTGCCCAGATTTTCCTGGACATTTTTGCGATTTGCGCCCAGACCCTGCTTCTGACTGCAGTATTCCGGATATGTCTGAGAAATTCCGGATGTATGGCAACCCTATTAGCATAGGCATATGATTGCGCTCTGCATGGCTCACCTTGTGGCACTGCAGAGATTGAACAAGACCCACATGTTTTCTATTCAGAACATATCAAGCAAGGCACAAAGGCTTTAATGGCAGTATTTACCAGGAGATGCTTTTTCAGTCCCCTTGCAACCCTACTGACTTTAAAATTTAGCAAAATGGAAATTCTTTTCTCCTGGAAGTTTTTTGGGCTCTCCTGCTGCTTTGATGTGGGTAAGCTTCTGCAGGAGGTTTGGTGTAAGGGGAACATCAGTAAGAGCCCATTATGGGATGGCCTTAAATGGAATCACCTCTGGACTCTCTGTTGTCTGAAGCCTGAAACTTCTTGGTGGCACTCGCTCCAGCGGGATTTAGCGTTTGCCTACTAACTTTCACAGTTCTTTACCAGGGATGAGTAAGAGCTGGGCAAAAAGCAGGCAGTGATTCTTCTCACAAGGCTCACAGTTTACCTAGTTCATGCCAGTGTCTCCTGGGTGGCATGTGGTCAGGAAGTGACAATGGCTCCTGTGTCAATTCTCCCTCTGCACCAGGGCAACAAACACATCACTTTCACTGGACCTCTATTCAGTCCTCTGGCTTGGAGGCTCCCATGGGGCCTGGACCAGCAGGATGGTCTCAGAAGAGGCAGGATTATCCCGCAATCCCCTCCTTCTTAATTGATTAACAGTTCTGCAAACATTCCCTGCCATAGAAGTGCGTGAATCAAGTGGCCAATAATTTACGAAGGTCAGACTCCTCGCTGCCTCTCCGTAGAGGCTCTTGTGGGGTAAGCAAATAAATGCACCATTTTCAAATCAGCATAAATATAGATTTCAGTGGCATCATAGCTTAGGGTTGTTTTGGTTCTCCTAGTTTTTTATGTACATGGTCCACTTTCCCCCTCCCTTTTTTTTAAGCACACCCTTACGTTTCATTAAAATTAATACATGTACCGTCTGTGTGACACCCCCTGCCCCCTGTGATACATTGCAACATTCAAAGTCTGAATT